AGGTAGACTGCGTTCCAGATATAACGCGAGAGGCTCAAGAAGGGGAGTTAGATTTGCATGTCTTTACTTCTCTGTCTTGTTTTTGAACGCCGGAGCAGAGTTTTGTGAGTCTGGATATCTCTTGTTGGAATTGGTTGCATTTAACTTCATACTCCGTAAAGTTCAGACCCTGAAGAGATTTTAGCTGTGTATTTGCAAGTTTACGAAAAGTCTCAAATCCAGTTGCGTGAGACTCTAGGTCGCTTTTTAATTTTTCATTTTCCGCCCTCAGAGTCAAATTTTTGGACTTGAGATCACTAACTGATTTTTGTAGCGATTCAATTGTTTTAGCCTGAGTTGATTGTGTATTTTCCAGCTGAGTAACCCTTTGTAGCAGAGCTTAAATTGATGACCTTAGTTCCACTGCAGAGCTTTTAGGAAAATCGGCAGCTTTGACTTTAGACCTATCGAAAACTTCCCCGAGACAAGAGTCGTCACCATTACAGAACATGTTAAGTGCAAAACAGTCTTTTGCATATCTGTTGACACTTGGGTTGTTCTTAGTTTTTTTACGCAATGTGAGATTCCCTGTGGGACACTCCTCAATAGCCTTGGCTTTGGAGCACAGATATGTTCTATAATCAATGATGAAATGTTCATCGCAATTTGTAAATTCTAACAGTTTTTCTACATATTGTTCTTTTGGTAGGTTTTGTAAATTTGAGTCCAATGATGTAAAATCAACATTTGGGTCAAAAGTATTGGAAGTACGATAACCATCTGAGTGAGTGAGTAGATCACTGCGACTCTGTGAACCCTGTGAACTGTGCACTTCAGTTTGTGATGAGAGGGATTGATCATATTGGGGTGGTGCATGACAGAATTACGAGTTGTGATTGACGACAAAGAAGCACTCACCGGACATAGTTCTATATAGGTCGGCATTAGCTGCTCATTTCCCAAAATCTGTTCCGTGAGATGGAGTGAACTACCCTCCGCCATTACCGGAAGTAACGTTTATGGCTATTGTTATTATTGCGCACAGCGGATCATACCACGTAACAATTGATCAATCGTTGAATGAATAGCAACGTTTACTGGACATCTACATGTTAACATTTTACACGTGGTTCAAGTCAATCTACGACCATATATCAAATCGAATGCAAAAACCAATTGAAAAGAAATATATTGTTTTTATGAAAAGCAAAACAAAGATTAGAAACTAAGAAAGATGTCATGGGCATTTGTAATTTGTTGATACGTTGTTAACTTGAAATTGTACATAATAAAATGTAGTCTATGCCATATTCAGCGCTTCAAGGATAAGGAGAATGAGCAGCATCGCTAAATGGACAACAAAGGTATTTTTTGTACATTATAATACCCGTGAACACGTGTTTTGGCCAGGGAATCCTCCTGACAGTTGTATTCACCGATAGTACAGCAAAGGAATACAGACGCAAATCACCTCACAGTATGACTTTGAGAAACCTACTAGAGAATTTCTCGTTTATTCAACAAATGAATTGTTTGTAGTTGTTAGATAATAGAATAAAAATGGACATATTGCTTTTTATCTACGATCGAAATGCTTGGAAAAAATGTTCATTGTGCCTTTCCGATCGCCTGTAGATTTGTTTTTTTTCCTTAGCATAAAATTCCTGTAGTATCTGTAGTAACCCATAATATAATTCATTCAGCTGATTTGTCAGCTAAAGTCATGTTGGTACCTCATTTGCTAATCTGACGCCAAAATATAGTTCCAGTTACCATGCAAGTATGTTTGTCCAAAAAGAATTTTTTTCAATACATAAATGCAGAAAATAATGTCATAAAGAATATATACTTATTGAAGTTTGAATGAATCCAAGAGAGACACTGGAGTACATTTCTACTGATATTATACAGTGGTGAAACTGAAACGCAACATAACTTTTCTGTTTACCATGTATCCACGTGCTAGTCACTTCCTAGCCACATTTCCGTGAATAATTTGCCTTATCTCGCTGTAGTCTCGCTAATTCTCGTCAGAGCTACTGCAAACTCCTCGGGTATTGTAGTTTGTAGAATACCGAAAAATAAAAGGTTCACAACACATTAGTAGGGGTGAACGTGACGGTTTAAAGAGCCCATGATTTGCAATATCCATTATCACATATCCGAGCCTGCATTCTGGTGTCAAAGAATCCAAATATGGACTTTCCTTGACTTTTCAAAACTTTCAAATGGACATAGCAAAGTGTGGTGCGAATGTAATGAAGACCTAACTGTTTATTTACATGAGGTAGTAGTGAATCAAAGGAGACATCGTGTATAAAAGGTTTATTGTAAGACCAATGTCCATGACTACGCTTACGCTCTGTGAACTGTTAAAAAGCCCCTTCACATTCGAATTGCTACACTGTGGGCTTGAAAGATTCCCAACGCTATCGACATTGTCATTGCTACCATATGGAAAGTCCGTGCCTAGTTTTCTAATCCAGTATTCTTCTCGTTGTCTACGGAAAGGTGTACTCAGTGATGGGCTATTAGAATGATGAGAAATCTTTTCTAGAATTCTAACTTTCATTAACAAAATAGAATGATCAGGTAAATTAAAATGCTTGCATAGAAGCTGCTGGCCCCCGCTGTTAATTTGAAAACTATGTCCCGATATTCGTTTCTAATTAAGTGAACCCTTGGTTTTACCAACATAAATAAGCCCACAAAGGGTACATTGTATTCTGTAGACAACATTAGAAGATTTGCAATTCAGATTTTCCCAAATTTTGTTATAGAAGCTCTGTCCAGTAAGATTACTAGAAAACGAAGACCTAGTAATCAAAATATCACAGGTTTTACAGTTTTTGACAGAAAATTTTGTAATAGAACACACGATGAAAAGTTTACAGAAGGACAGACGATGGACAACGAGTGATCAGAAAAGCTCACTTGAGCTTTCGATCAGCTCAGTTGAGCTAAAAACAGCACTTACTTCAGCACCTATCTTACAGTACCAAGATCTGAGCTTACCTTTTGCATTGGGCACAGACGCTAGTGCGTTCACCATGGGTGGAGTTTTATCCCAGGTGGAGGATAGCATAGAGAGACCTTGTGCGTATTTTAGCAAGGCGTTCAGTAAACCAGCAAAGAACTTCTGAGTAACCAGACATGAACACTTGCCGTTGTGAGTTCAAAAGAGAACTTTCACCATTACTTTCATGGAAAAAGCTTTTAATTAAGAACTTATCAAGGGGCATTAACATAGCTCTTAAAACTTAAAAAATCCAGAGGGACAAGTAGCCCGTTGATTTGAGGTTCTACAGACTTATGACTTAAAATTACATATTGACCAGGAAAACAATATGGTAATAGTGATGGACTAAGCCGTCGACCATGTGCACCTTGTAACTGCTGTGATAAGAAGGAGACTAATCAACAAAGAATAGGACAATAATCATATACTAATGTTAACAGAAGACCAAACCAAAACATAAAATTGGTACAATGACAAGGACACAAGAAGACCTACAAAGGGAGCAGAATGCAGATCCAATACTAGCCAAAATAACTTAGTGGAAGACAGAGGACAACTGACCAACGTGGCAGATGATAGCAAAGGAACTAACAGAGCTTAAGACGGATTGGTCACAATGGAACCGACTGATGTTACGAAATGAGTGCTCGTCAGAACATGGGAAGAAAATGAACAAACCTATTACCAGATAATGGTACCAAAAGCACGTATAAAAGAGATACGTACTGTTGGTACATAACAATCATACATTTGGGCATTTCCGAAAACTACCATGAAAATAAGAGAAAGGTACCGGTTCTACTGGGCATCTTATAAAGACGATGTTGTGTGAAGCAAGGACAAATCCATCAAGGGCAGCCAGAGGAAAACTGGGTCAGAATTCAGTTGAGGAACCACTGGAACGAGTTGAGAGCTTATCAAAAAATATATTTTACTAGAAAAAGACATGGATGGTAACCTAACATCAAAACTTTATGATAAACGTGATGAATTCAACTTTTCTATCGTCAACTTCCTTTATTTATGTAGTAATATACCATTGTCACCTGCATATGGAGTTTATGTCTCCCATTTGATTCGATACGCAAGAGCAGGCTCTACGTTCGAACAATTTCTAAAACATTGCAAGATATTGACAAATAAGTTGATGAAACAAGAATATCAATAGTCTTGTTTAAAGTCAATATTTCGCAATTCTATGGTTGATACAATTTATTATTAAGTCGAATGTCCACTGACGTTGTTCATACAAATTGTTAGGCCATTATTTTCACTTTGATTGTCTACGGATTTTTCCGTTTACCCGATCATGACAAGGAGCACACGGCTTGTGTGACCGATCGACAGGGAGTGCTTACTCCTCATGGCACCTGATCCCACTTTAATGCTTTTTAAGAGACCCGTGATTGCTCTGGTCCAAAATTTGTATCGTTTCAATGGACTCTTGAGCTTGACTACTGTTTGTTATCTTCATATCTCATATACTTCATGATCTGAATACATAACTTGAAGAAATATAATGCATGACTCGTTAGAATTTCTTGAATGTCACAATAATATCGTTTTGTTAATTAAATGTGAGGCCATAATCACATGGTCTTCTCTGTCATTCCTAGCCATCGAAGGAGGTATGCACCATCCAATTGTATTATGTATAACACTGCCCTAACAAAAATTTACTATAGTTAATTATAGTTTACTATACTTGACTATAGGAAAAATTCTGATACTTTGATTTACTATGAAACTTTAATCTGGAACTTTTTTTTGAGATTTCAAAGCTTAAAATCTCTTAAATTCGATAACAGTGATGTAAAATTTGGAAATGATATTTTAATATACAAATAATAGTTTCATTTAATATAAAAAAATGTGCATATATGAATCGGTGAAAATAAAATATAAAACTCTGAAATCCATAGTAGAAATACTTTGTTTTACTATAGTAGAATTTTTGATTTACAATAGTAAAAACTTTGATACTATAGTATTTTTTCTGTTAGGGTGATGACAATTATTCTTTAATATGTCTACAACCTGTATTTAATGGCATAATATCCAAGTATACGTAACACGATAATCAAGACCACCATCGTTCCTACACAACAATAAACAGGGAGATCAATTCCTACACTGTGTAACACGTCACTTCCTGTGATAAGCTCTGTTTCATTTTGGCATTTCTTGAATGTTTGAGAGTTTCCGCACCTAAAAACAAAGGAATTATGGGCATCACTTAAATGAAAATCCTCAATAATTTACATTTCACACAGTTTAATGGATAATAGAGTATAAAGAAAAAGATTTAATGAACTGAGTCTTGTGATTTATTCTTTTACAATTCATGCATTAACTCAAGTGGAATCTGTCTTGAAAATTTTTCCCCTTCTTTAACACTTCATGTTATAAATAAAGCAAAACAAAAAGAATGTAACTCATACCTGGTTCAACATTTACTGAAATTTTGTGTTCAACCTCAATTGTCCCGATTATAATCATATGGGTTAAAACAACTATTGGTATGCCGCAAAATACACGAGCATCACGTATTTTTAATGTAAAAAGTCCATACCTGAATGGTTCTATATCTGCGAATAAAACAGTGAAAATGGCGGCAAAGGGATAATGCAGGAATGAAGTATATTTAGCCCAGGTAAACCATGTGGGGAAAGACGTGGTAAAAAATCCACCTGTAAAATAAAACAGAGGACATCAAAGAATACAAAGTTTTAACAAATGCTATCTCAGAGCTGGAAGAATTTTCTGGTTAAATGAAAAAAATGATTCTTGTATTCAGGACCTTACACAACACACTGAAGAGTTTGAAATCTCAATTCCTTTAACCGAAATATATTGAGATAACGAACAGTATTCAAGCTCAAAAGTCCATTAAACAATACAAAATAGGAGCAGAGCAAACACGGACCTCCAAACATCAGAGGTGGGATCAGGTGCCATGGAGGAGTGAGCATCCCCTGCCGACCGGTCACACCCGCCGTGTGCTCCTTGTCATAATCGGCAAATAACGGGAAAATCCGTGGACAATTCAGTGTGTAAATAATGGCCTAACAATTAGTATGAAAAACGTCAGTCAGCATTTGACTCAATGATAAATTGTAATTGCTGACAAGGTCATTGTATCGACCATAGAACTTACGAAATGATGACTTTAAACGAGACAGCTGATATTCCTGTTTCATCAACTTATCTGTCAATAATTTACCTCGTTTTAGAAATTGTACATACGTAGAGCATGCTCTTGCGTATCGAATCCACTGAGAGATATATACCCCGTATGCAGGTGGTGAAAGTATATTGCTGCATAAGAAAGGGAAGTTGACGATTGAAAAGTTAAAGTCATCACGTTTATCATAAAGCTTGGTTGTTAGATTACCATTAACGTCTTTCTCAAGTAAAATATCCAAATATGAAACAGATGTGTCAGACTCTGTGGTATCTTTTATCTCAAGTTCACTAGGATATATCGTATCGACATAAGAATGGAAATAGCCATTGTTAATTGACAATACGTTGTCGATATATCTAAATGTCGAGTTGAAGGCAACAGCAAGTGTTTTCTTCTTTTCACGTACAAGATTTTGGACAAATTCTGCTTCATATGAATACAAAAAAAGGTCTGCTAATAACGGTACCCATGGGAATTCCAATTGATTGTTGGAAGACCTTCTCCAAAAACCACATAGATATTGTCAATCAGAAACTCAAGCATCTTTCTAATGTCAACTTCAGAGTACTTGTGTGTACAATCAGAATGTTTTTTAACAAAATAATTTTGCAAATGACCAATAACAAGGTAAATATATTTACGAGTTCCATTTTTATTGAAAAAGCAGCTGTCAATGATATCAAAAAGCCTGGACTTTAATTTATCGTGGGGAATGGTTGTGTATAAAGTTGAAAAGTCGTAAGTTTTTAAGCTGTTGATTTTGGTAAAATCTTGTGATTTCAAATTTTCCAAAAGTTTCTTGGAATTTTTAAGTATCCACATCTGATTTACACCACTTCTCGAATATATTGTTGCACAGTACTCTTGAAGTTTCTCCTTCACCACTGTTAATATCTTAGTGAGGAGTAAAGATAGAGGCTTGGTTGAACATTTACTGGAACCCGCTATGTATCTTTGTTTGTAAGGATTTTTATGAAGTTTCGGAATCCAATATAAATATGGTAATTCAAATTCATTTTGGTTGTTTGGAATATTAAAAAAATATTCAAAACTGACATATGATTTTGAAGAATTTCTTCCTTAGAAAGGGAACTATGAGTATAAGTTGGATTACCACTTGTAGAATTAAATCCAAGTTCCTCTAAAATACATTTAATATAATGAACCTTACAAACAAAGACAATGTTGTTACCTGCTTTGTCAGCAGGGACCAGTACGAACTGATCATGTAATCTATCTAATTCTTTTTTCACTTCTGGTTTATTGAATACAGAAGGATAGATGGTCTTCATATTGCCTCTCAATCTTTTGATGCGCGATTTTAACATACATCTGATACATTTAATCCATTCTGACAAAGTGTCAAGGTCTTCTTTTTCATGTCTGGCCCATCGTCTGGCGTAGTCCTCTACAGAATCCACAATATTTATGAAATTCCGACGCCAGCTGAAGGATCTGGGTTCCCTAAATTTAGGACCTTTTAAAATAAGTGATCTAAGGTCCTCAATTTTCTCAAAGTCAAAAACACGTTTTTCATTTAGTGTAACGAGGGTCTTTAAGTCCATCCATTTCATATCCATTAAAGGGCCTCCCATCAAATATAATTTAAATAAGAATGCAGTCCTGGATGTATTGTACAAAAACGTTTGGTCTTGACTGATTAAATGTCGTTTAATGATCTAACAAGAATTTTTTTTTCTCCTGAAGAAGTTGAAATCATGAATTTTAGCCAGGTCAAAGTTGAAATCATGACCTCAACATATGTCTTACCTAATAAGAGGAATGCGATCATCACTGTGTTAGCAGTTATTATACTGTACTTTAATCTGTGGACACAGGCTCCAATGATGTACGCTATGCTCTGTAAATAAAACAGTATTTAATGATAAAATACTTTGTGAAAAGAATTTTTCCTTTTTTCTAACCTATTTTGATCAAGATTGTTCCCGTTTATTGCTTCTTTTTAGCCCAATCCTTAATTGATCCATGATTCAGGATTTATGATTTTGAACTTATCTAAATCAGTCTAAAGTGAAGATGGTAAAACATTTATTGGAAATGCAGTGTCTTGCTGTTCATAAGAACATCTTCTGTTAAATCTATACAAATTGAAAATCACAGACACCCAGAACACATCCAATTTTACATCCTAACCCATCCCTACTAATAGACTTTAGCAGACTTCGGTCAACTATGTTTAAAGATGCTTACAAATTGATTTTAAGGACAAGAGAGGCTAAGACGCCCTTTTTGGCCCCTTGTTTGGGGTGTCTCTAAGAACGATGCTACAGGTCATCCCTGTAAAAAAGAGTACTATTCCTAAGCTATAGGATACACAAAGGTCATAGGAAGGTCACAAAATATGATAATTTTCAAATGTTCTCATTTTATTCAAATTTTCATCAAATTTAAACGCATTTTGTTTTAGAAAACACAGAGCACAAGCTAGCCCATCATCCACATTTATATATTTTATTCACTTGTATCAGATGCACCTTGTATATAAATGCAGGCTTAGGCAATATGTTTCCAAGATGAAAAGTATCTCAAATTTGACAAAATTCCATCAGAATTGAGGGATTTGGTAAATTGCCCTACTTTGTCACCCTCGACTGAACTTCGTGTACGCTTTGAATCAAAATTAGTCCTTGTTTGAAAATAATCATAATTTAAAGTTTTTAATTGCAAACTATTACAATCTTAACTATGTTTTAATTTTTATATAAATAATGGGCACAATTTGACTGTTATCATACCTTGTCCTTAAGCCTTCAAGTATCCAAGATATGTTGAAAATTCAATATTTCAAAGTCTCGATTTCTTACCTGAATGGTAAAACAATTCAGAAGATTTATTCCTATATAAATGGCAAACTGCACCGGTCCCCCCATCCCTGCCAACCAGTACATGGCCGAAAGCTGAACAATGGGCACCACAATCATCATAGGAAGTTCACTGACCATCTTAGCCGTGTAATAGGCAGATAGGCGGTAGGCACCTGCTCTTCTCTCTTTCTTCACAACCTCTCGTTCTCCAACAACTGTAAAATGTAAATGTATAATATAAATATGAAGATAAGGAACAGTATTCAGGCCCAAAAGTCAATTCAAATAATACGGTTCAGGAGTATAGCAACCACGGACCTCTAAAACATCAGAGGTGGGATCAGGTGCCATATATATATTCATGATATTATATTTACAGAAGTAATTTGGAGATGAGATCAAAAGAAGTTCTAATTTCGAAAGTCCTAATCTAAATATGTGTCATAAGAAGTTCATATATGACATATTGAGGTAATGTTTATATTAAGCATTTTTGAAAACAAATTGGTTTTATTTTATTTTAGTTTTGTAGTAAAGGGTCTTTTATTGCCTCCCTTTTACAATAAAAAAATCATCAAAAAATATATTTGCAATGAGTTCAGTAAAATTTAATTAGATAATCCTTGGTATATAATATAGGATACATGTATGTGTTTAGTTTGCGCTCTGAAATACATGACAAATAAATGAGAGAAATAAAAGAACAGTGAATTTTAATGACTGTTCAAAGCAGAAGCAAAAAATACAACTTACAACTGGTAACAGCATCATTCACCATTGTAAATCCCCAATATACCAGAGGAAAGTATACCTGTCAAAAATTTGTATGGTTTTTAAAAAAAACAATTTTTTTTGGATCTGAAGTCAAAAAAGGAAACTTTTAAATTTCTCACCGCTCCCATCCTGTCTCTAAGTGTGTCGTTAGAACTTGGTATCTGATAATATATAACACAAAAAATAATGCCAACAATCAGAGCTTGACCAAGGATACATTCGTCAAATATTCTCCATCTTGATTGTTTGGCATTTCGCCAAGACAACATGCGGAATTGTGTCCAAAATGAGGCTGCCCACTTTCTGTTGATTGAACGTTCTAAATTGCTTGTTGAAACGTGTTCAAGAGATGAAACATCAAGCACAATCTCTGTAGGATCTGATATGAAAAAAAAAGGAAAAAAGCGATGTTCTTAAAAATATACGTTCAAATAATTAATAGATTTAAAAGTTTAATTATTTAATAAACATGTATACTCTGTCAAATATTCACCCGTTTTGTGGTATACAAGAGGAATGACATGACCATTAGATGCTGGTTCAGTGATATGTCTGTCTGTGAGTGATGGTGCTATTTTTGATGTGACATAATCATTAATGGCCGACCCCTTGCTATTGCAGAGTTCTGCATTTTCGACCTTCACCCTAAAATTTCTGAAAATAATTTTCAGATTTAAAGGTGTATTAATTAAAATCACAAAATTGTTATATACATGTATACATATAATTATACATTTTTTCATAAATCATGCATGTATGTGTTGGCAACATTATCTGTAACCTATCTACGAGTGTTGTCCATAAAGTTCGTGGACAATGATGTTTTTGTCAAACTGACTGGTTCTAGATATACTATGTATACCAAAATATTTGTTATGGAAAACCGAGTCAGGATAATGTGGTTTTGGTTGTGTGAACTTAATATTTTTGTAAAAATCGCGGTTTTAATGGTCGCAGATAGTACGCAGGACCTAGGGTTAAAAAGTCATAAACTCTGATATAAAGTTTTCTGAGTAAAATAATTATTTCCTTCAAAACCAGCCAAAATCTATATAAAATTTTACATATCTCAAATACAGCGGTTGCCATTTTCTGATAACTTTGTAATCGCTTATTGGACAGTTAGTGAAAATATTAAGAAAAAGTCACAAGAAATATGTTTCAAAAATTGACAGTAAAAGCGACGTCAGCCATGCGGACGGAACAGCATTCAATTGTGATTTTTTTTAATATCGTGAAAACGACGTCGATGTGAGCTAATTATTTAAACAACTGGAAATTATTGGAATATATTTAGTTCATTGATTTGAAATTGGTATGACGCTCGTACATTATCGAATATATTTTCGAATTTTAAAAATTTACTCGTAAGGTCTATATATAAATATTATTATACTCACTTAGCAGTTTGGCATAATAAAGAAAAAAAATAGCGTGTGTCCACGAGTATGTGATAAAAATTCAATATCCCTATTTTTGACGTAATTATATGAAACTAGCTTAACGTCCGACTGGGCTGTGCGGCATGCATATATAATCTATTTTCACCTATAACTTTCGTAAAATAGTTTGAATTGTTTTGATTTTTATACATTTACTATTTTATGGTCTATATGAAAATAATATCGTACAAACTTGGCAGTGGTCATTATTAAGAAAATTATAGCATTTGTCTACGAACTTTATGGACAGCCCTCCTATCATGACTGTCTTTGCCATTTTCCATGTTGTTTGTGACTGATCATAAGTGCTCATGTAGAATTTTTGAAATTTTAAAAGTTTGAGACTGACAAGGTAATGGGCACTCCTAATTTTATATTCATGAATTGGCCATTGACGCACAGACAGACACATACATATCAGGCCAAGTTTCCTAAAAACAATCTCTTAGCAAATTTGTTTTGAAGGCTAAATACACATAAAATATAAATTAAATTTTAAACTGCATGTCGAATTGTTGAGAAGAGAACTAAATATATCACTATTTGCTTGTCTAAGGTGTACTTTTGATTCTAAGTTTTTTTTCGACATTGTACTCACTTAGCTTTCTCCGATGCTTCAAGAATTTTATTTACGACTTCCGTATTTGTGGTCAACAGCTCCACTAAAAATGATTACGAAAAATTTTTCTTCATTACACTTAATAACTAATTATTAATTCCAAAATAAATTCAGACGAGTTTTATTAATCTCAGAATTGAAAAAAAGTCTTTTGCAATAAATATAAAGAAATGAAGATGGGATATCTTTTTATTTATTAAACTCATGCTTACAAATAATATCAGATGGGTTGTAATGATCAGGGAAGTTTAAGCCCAGTCCACTGAAATACTGGAGTGCTTTGTTGGCATCGCCAAAGTACGCTTCCTACAGTGAATAGGACTTCTAAATAATATGACTATAAGATGTATAAACAGATTGAGCACAAATATTTGATATACCTTAAAAATTGCTTCCTACATAAACCTTTACTCAAAAGAAGTCTAACATTTCCAATATTTTACAGAGCGCTCAAGAAAAAAAAAATGATGTTTGACTTCTTAATGAGAAGTTGGACCGCTACGACGTTTATTAGACCATTTCCTTTTTTCTCAGCGCAGGCTAAGAACAGCTGTTTCTATTTGCATTCGTTGGTGTTCGTAACGGAATGACCGAATTAATTTTCCAGTGTGCGTTTACACACGAAATTTACAAAATGTTGTCATCTTTATCAAGAAACATGCATGCCAATGTAAGATACGTCATAATAAAAGTAAAAGGTATAAAAAAAAAACCCCAGTATTTGTCTTGGTACTTGGGCAGAATGCGCTATGTAGCACCCTCGTACCAAACTGTTGCTTTTGGGAAATATTTTGGTTCTTGGATCCTACAAAACGAATGTTGCTCTAGAATCCAGTCAATATAAATATTTTTCTTGAAACAACGTTCTTTAAAATATTTGAAAAAAATGTACAATTTATATAGCCCATGTTTTAAAAGTAAAAAAAAAAAAAAATGACAACTCTCTATTAAAAACAAAGAATGTATGTGAACTCACGTGTCCGTTAACAAGCAATAGTAGAGACGAAAAAATGTGAAAAATCTGACTGGAAGGCTGATGGATAGTAGTCAGTATAGTCTTGTTATACTGAAAAGCAAAGTCCCATAGTTCCTGCATTAACACATGCGCAGTGCTAGAGTCCAGACCGGAAGTAGGTTCCTAGAAGAAACAAAGCCATGTTTGCTAATGGTATACAAAATCGTGTATTTTTTCCAAAAAATATCTATAAGTGAGGACACCCTGTTGAAAACCTCTTATTTTCCTGATCTTTATTTAAACTACATACAAATTTATTTTTATTTCCTAAAATAAGTACAGTAAACAAGGTTGTATCCCAATTAATCACATCGATCAAAGTAGGGATACAGAATTACAAGCACACTTACGTCTATCAACATAATGTTGGGATCTGTAAGGAGTTCACATGCAATGTTCGCACGCTTCTTCTCTCCTCCGCTTAGTCCAGGGTGCATGAAATCTCCAATCACTAAATCAGATATATAATTATTACATAAAAGACACGGATCACTTCCATTTGAAAAAAGTAACTAAACCCTTTTTTTTCACGGGCTAATGTGGAAATAATTGTTCATTTGTTTTGTATAATTTATACACGTTGCATTTAGATTGAAGTGCCAACTCCTTGACACTTGAAATTCTGACTGATTTTGTCACAACGTATAAATGCAGGAAACTGAAATAATTACGTTTGAGCTAAACATAAGTGTAGGAAGGTTTAAATCATAATTTATTTCATTAAATTTGCATTCGAGCTATAAAAACACTCAATAATAAAAACCTTCTAAAAATAATCAAGCAAACAGATATATCAGAAAACACAGAATCATGAGAAGAAAAAATTTGGGGGAAAATGAACGAAAAAAGTCATATATAGAATAGTACAGGTACTATGGCGTAGAATGAATTTAACGTTACTTCTGAAAACCAATAGAATTGTTTGACTAAAGAATACTGTTCCCTTACCAGTGTCCAAACATTTGCGCAGGTGAAGTGCATCTACGATTTCATCAATTCGCGCCATCTTCTCGGCTTTCGTCACGCTATCAGGAAGTCGTATCATGGCCGTAAACTAAAATTTAAAAATCTTTTTTGATTGCATTATATATATACAATGTATATATATATATATATATATATATATATATATATATATATATATATATATATATATATATATATATATATATATATATATATATATATATATATATATATATATATATATATATTCCGAGCGCAAAGTATGAGTTAGAATATTAAAAAATACTGTCTCACGAGTGAAATATATTCAACTACAGAACGCTGAATTGCCCATTTATTACAATTTCCTTGTTTTTTTCCTTCTGCCTCTATCGAATATTAGCTGTATTTGTAACAAAATGGCGTAGACTGTGACGCCATAGATGGGCTATTGTGAGACGTCATAAGCAATAATGAGACGGAAAATTACCGTAAACTTGGATTTAAACAACAATTTGGCTGCTCTAGTCAGTGTCAGGGTGCACGATTATTCACTCTTGCTATCTATAGAGAGTATTTTCTTTACCACTGTTCATGGAGGGAAGAAAAATGTGTTATTTTCACAGTAAGAATATAACTCCTATTTTCACTGTAAAAATAACTTTTGAAATATTACTTTTATTCAACGGATGAATTACAGTATTTCATTGTTGAAAATTTAATAATATACAATTGTGGACTTCAGTGTAGGTCGATATGTGGTTATAAGGACCCATGTCAAGTGATATTGACCGAAGACACAGAACTTGCGAGACCGCTATCATTTTCTGTGTCTGAGGTCAATATCACTTGACTTGGGTCCTGATAACCACATAGTAACAGTTCCCTGAAGTCTTTAATAGTCATATTATATAAAAATTCAAAGTGAATATAATCTGACACAGTCCTAACTGAACAGACTTTGCTGACATTACGTCACAAAGGTAAAGACATGCTTCTTCTATTATGACGTCACGTTCTACGTAACTTTGGTGTAGCCGAACAATGAGTCGTACGATATTATATTCCGCGGACTCGCTTTTGCGTCTATATCACAAAAGGATGAATATTACGTGACATCCTTTCAGCCAATGTAAATTACGAAAATAATCTTATATAATATAATGCAACATACAAAATTGTGATGTTGTGGGTTGTGCCAAATTTATTCATTGATTAAATATGCATAAATTTATCTTTTTTCTTGCTTGATTATAGAAAGAATACAAGGCGAGAAAAAAATCGGCCATCTTGCGTTCATAGTGAATTCACCGCTCCTTCACCCGTTCAATTTGCGCTCATATTTCGCTCCTTCATCAAGCTCTGTTCTGCGTTCACTCACCGTTAGTTGATCTGCGTTCGTTTGGCGTTCGCCCACCTTTCACGCATCGTTTATAATTACTCACTCTTTATGTAGGGATTAGTACGTTTCAAGAACTGTATGATTTATTAGATATAATGCTTACATAGAGAGTTTCCCTTAGCGTGAGTCTTGATAGAAATATGTCACTCTGTAGAACATATGCCAATTTCCGGCGCTGAAGCTTTGTGAAGGGGTTCCCATTGAGAGTTATCGTTCCTGATGTTAGAGTAAGATTTCCCGCCAAAATGTTAAGAAGAGAAGTTTTTCCAGATCCTGTAATACAAATTCTGTCAAATTGAGAACTAGACAAGACATATTTTGATTCCTTTGCTTTTGAACATTTTACTTCTAATGAAACAAGAATTTTAAATAAAATCAATAAGGCCCTAAACTAACGAAATGACCAATGATGTAAATCAAAAAAAAAAAAAAAAAAAAAAAAAAAAAAATGAAATTGATATTTCGCGTATGTTTTTTTGAAATCATTTTTGATAACAAGTATCGCTTTTTCAAAAAAGCTTTGCCCTCTATGGCAACAACTTTAAACATTAAATTGACATGTACGCCTATCAGACCGTATTATTCTTGAGTACTGTAGTTCTTGGCTTTGTACATCTTCAACAGGTTTTTAGACTGAGCCCTACTATATAAACGAAGGAGAGAAGAATACACACAAATTTCAATGTTTGCAAGCAAAAAAAAGTACATTCTTTAAACCACGAAAATATAGAAAAACTTAATACATGTAATATTGCTATAAAAAAGTTAAGTGTCAGTTTCTCTTTTGTTCGTTATGTCGATTTTTTTTAAAGATTGATAATCTTTAAAAAAAATGGTAAGTCGTACGAAAATTAGATCACCAGAAAATTATCTCCCTTGCTTTGGACAGCATTTTAACCAATGATATTTTACTTTTTTCACATCATGCATTTCTACCAATCACAGAAGGGATGAAGTGCACAGTCCGAAGACTGTAAAATACTGTATACCGTCTTCCAAGGAAGAGGGTAATACTGTATGTGTACTTAAATAAGCGGGCTTCATATCATATCGACTTTGGCGCGGACAGCAAAGCGCTAATTCACGAATACCGTTAATAAATCATAATTAAATACAATACATGGATGTGTGTAACACTAATTCATGATTATGTCAACCACTCAATACCTAGTGATTGTGCTAAATTTTGAATATGTCAATTTATGTACACGTACAGTAATCATATCGTTTTTTTTCTCATCTATGAGTATATGTAAACATAAACATTTTACTACAATCTTTTGATCATTTCTTTTACCTGTATACTTATTCAGAGCTTGTAGTGTGAACAAACTTTACACAAAAACAAAATACTATATATTTGACATATTTCAGTTCAGATTTTCTTAAGCAAAGAAATTACGTCATTTATCTTTTTTTTACTTTTAGAGATTATAAACAAGATGATAGTAATAATATATTGAAAGTTTACCTGTTGGGCCCATGATGGCCAAAATCTGTCCACTTCTGGCTTTCCCATTAATATTTGTTAGAATAGTCTTTTCTTTTAAGGTCAAACAAATGTCAGTGAAGGTTAAAATGGCGTCGTTAGATCTTGTCTTCATGCTGTTGTGACATAAAAAATAATAATTATAACCTTTCTTATAGGAAAACTCTATGAAAATGAATTCTGAATTGCGAGTTGAGTGCAATTTCCAAGTTCTGAAACTCAAATCTCGTCCTGTTCTATGACGATATATACAAGTTTGCTCCAGTCCGATAGAGTGGAAAGAAATGTTAAATGTTTTCATTGCCTGACACCACGTGCGTCAGGCAGTTTACATAAGGATTAATGTTTCCATGGTCCGAAACTAAGCAATCATTCTTAATGAACTAGATTTTGTGCAAGCTGATTTACATCGGGTTTTGTTACCTGCATAAAAACAAATACAGTTTGCAGAAGAAAGAATCATATTACTGATGCAAAATAATGATGTGTTTAATTCCTTCAGTTTTTTTGCATGCACATGTTTATTCTTTGCGATTCTTTGTACGAACATGTCCGTGTAACATTTTTTCTGCGTTTCTAAACTACTGGATCAGTCCATTTGTCTTCTACGAAAGGGGTGACACAATCATTTCGCGCCAAATGTCACAAGTAAATTATCTTCGCGCCTTTTTATTGGATTGTTCTATTGAATGGGTGTAATAACTTCTATGGAAAAAAAAAATAAAGTTTGTTCTTTTACCCTGATTCTTAAGCTTCAATTTTTTTTTTATTAACTGCAAATTTTATCTCATTTTTTAAAAGAATTCATTGTTTATGGGCAGGAAACACTAAAGCAGTGGATTTGCTGATTATTCTTACTATTTTGTTTCCCAGTTATCCCATAAGTAGACTAGTCCAATCATAAACAGACTCCACCTAGTAAATGGGTCATCCCTTCTTTTCCATCTACATTTATTAATAATGTACGTTACAGAGTTAGGTTTTTGAAAAGCTAAGAAAGTCAGCCAGTAGGATATTATTTCATGCTTTGTGATGAACAAGGTTTCCTTTTAATACAGTGACAAAAGTGTAGGTCAGTATCGGTAAAGGAATGGGCTTCACTCCCGTAAGGTTCTAAGTAAAGAATTGGCAAAATGAAGAAGACATCATGATCTGTACTGGTTTTCATAAGAAAAACTAAACAATTTTAGAACTGTACGCAAAGATGAATTTTAAACTTATTTATAAAACATGTATATGGTGAGACCCTCTTCGCGAGAATTTTGACGGGGGGGGGGGGGTTATTAGTATCATGTTTTGCTCTAGCTATAAAGTGTACAGGCCATTTCCTTTTAGTCCTAGAGCAGCATTGAAACAATTTGTCTCAAACGCTTCAAGACAACTTTCCCAGTTAAAACTGATCGCAATTTGCTTAGTCGTCGAGAACGACGGAAAACAGACTACTTCCCCAGAAATCCAATCTACGCTAGCTCACTTGCACTTTCATCCCAACGTAACCAGTCAGCCCGGGGGCTAACTAATAAACGACCAAATAGTGGCATGTCTTAGATATTCGTTAATCTGTAGTATTTGATTATGATATTTGAGAAAGTCAACTGTACATCTTGTGTAATAAAGTATCGCAACTATGTCGATCCTTGATGACGGAAACGTTTGGCACCTCTCTTGCTTATACGTCCATAGATATTGATTGATTAGTCAGGCAAGCTTTTTGAAAAGCTTTTACTTGTATAGCTAACATATCAAAGGATCGGTCAAGTATAATGATTTTTAAAATTCCTTTCTGTTTTGTTTTTTGTTTTGTTTTTTGAAAGCTAATTGTATCCAACCTCAGATGAAAAACTGAATCTAAAGACGAAATGACGCAACGAGCCAAATAACGCGAAAATTGTTTTATAATTTAAAATTATAACTCAAAAAGGCGTGATAATGTGAAACAAGAGGCCCAACGGCCTCATCGCTCACCTGGGACTTTTTAAAGACATTTCCTATATATTCCTATGTAAAACTTTGACCCCCTGTTAAGGCCCCGTCCTGGGCCTGGGGGTCATGATTTCAACAAACTTGAATCTACAGTATATAATGAAGCTTTCACATAGGTTTCATCTTTTCTGGCCCAGTGGTTGTTGAGAAGAAGACTTTTAAAAGATACCAGCAAATGTTTACAAATTCTTAATTATCTCCATTTGGAAGAGTGTGTGGCACCTCCTGTGTAAAAAACTTAAATCCTCTTTACCCAAGGTATGAAATCTTTGTGACAAGACCTTCCTTTGGATACCAACAACTTTGACCCTTTGACCTTAGAGTTAACTTACTTTTGGAAAACTTTAAACTTGCCATAACTTCTGAACAGTTGGTGCTAGGGCTTTCATTCTTCACATGTGTAATCCTTGTGACAAGACCTTCCTTTTGATACCAACAATTATAGCGTATTGGCATTGAACTTGGAGTTTGACCTACTTTTGGAAAACGTTAACCTTGGCCATTACTTTTGAATAGTTGGTGCTAGGGCTTTTACACTTCACATATGAAATCTTTGTGATAAGACATTACGTTGTATACCAACAACTTTGACTCTTTGACCTTGGAGTTTGACCTACTATTGAAAAACTTTAACCTTGGTTAAATCTTGGTTAATCTTTTGAACGATTGTGTCAGGACTTTCATATTTCACATCTGTATTTCTTGTGAGAAGGCATTTCCTTGGGCACCATTAATTTTGACCATTTGACCTTGATCTTTGATTTACTTTTCAAAAACTTTAACCTTTTTTCATATTTTCATATCTTTTCAATGGATGTTTGCTAGGGCTTTCATATTTCACAGGTATATTCCTTGGGACAAGACCTTACTTTGGGTACCAACATATTTGATTTGCATTTGAGAAAGTTTAATCTTTGCTATAAGTTGCCATACGGGGACATCAGTGTTTCACAAACACATCTTGTTTTTTTTAGATAAACTTCTCAATTTTCAAAGCATTAAGATGTTAAAAGCCCCTTTCTTTCTCCATAAAGACTGTTAAATCACTTAACATTCACGTGCTTCTGAAATATTCTGCATACTCAACCAACATGTGAGCACAATCCATGCATTTCTTTTGAAAATTTCAAAAACATGTGACCAGAATAAATAACTATTCTCACAAAAAAAAAAAAAAAAAAAAAAAAAAAAAAAAAAAAAAAATCCCAAGACCCTACCCTTCTGAAAGTGTCTTTGTACTGAAACAGACAATGTGTTTCACATTAGTAAAAATGTCAGAGTGACCTAAAATTGACGAAAAGCAGACGTAAGGTGGGGAAAATTAAATTTCATGTTAATGGCCACGCTTTCTTTTCAAATGGACCGGAAAATTGTTAATTCTCTACAAATTTGGTAACTTTTATCAGCTTTTTGTAATGTAACTATTTCAATCCAGACTAAATTATCACATATTGCATAGTAGTACAAATGGTGTAACATAACTAGAAGCTAAAAAATCTTATGCTGCAAAATTTTCCTACAGAAAGTGGTAAATCAGCACATAAGAAGTCTAACCACATTCCTAAAATATCTTCATAAAGCTTCTGTCACTGAAACTTGGCATTCGAAGACAATTACAAGGAGACAATGATACACGACTAAAACAAAGCGGTACATGGAGAAAATAGCTGGCTGCTGCAGAAATGGTGCAACATCATGTTGGACTGAGTGACACTCCTATTAACCTTTCATTGTTAAGAATAGCAAAACAAACATGAGGTCCAAGGGCTTTAACGGTCACGTGAGTATACTATAACACTGTTAGGGATCCATAGAAGTATAAAACAGAATTAACTGATAGAGGAAACTATGTTGCCCTAGAATTTCAAAAATCTGGTAAAAATACGTTTGCTATCGTAACGTGCAAGATACAGGTGATCCATGGGATCGTACTTGGTTTTCCCAAGCCTTACAAGGATGATAATGAATGCAAAATATACAAATACAATGGATACTTGCTTAGAGTGAAAGGTATTCAATATATACAGATATGTTTTTGTCACTTGCCCAGTGCTACAATTAAGTATAAAAAGGGAGACTTGGCTGTACAACGTGGCTTTTTGTCAATTGTCACTAACTAAACATGTCCCATGGTCACTCTGGCTCTCTGATCACTTTTTTTACTCTGATAAAGTATAAAACAACTCTATGCAATCTCTTTCCAACTAAACTCTGAATTCCATGACTTTACCAGACAATAACTCATCAATTGTTAAACCGGACACCACAGTATACACATACTGTACATCATTAGCCCTTTTCCTACATAAATAATCTTTATGTCAATCTTTTATAGTGCTTTCCAGGTAAGAATCTGACTTTGAATATGCTTCGCTCATTTAAACCAAACATTCATTTTTATTTTGTTTCTATGTATAATATTCCTTCTCGTATTCTTATTATATCAAATAAGTTGTTAATTAAATTATATACAAGGATTTCTTGATAAACACAATTTAGCAAAGGGGAGTAACTCTTATATGCTTCACATTACAATGCTGTGCTTTGTTTGCCTCCTAGATACACAGGAGCAGAGAAAAAGGCACTTATAATTATATTTATACATTTACATTTATATCATTGCATTTAGTTTGTTTGCTTAATACTCAGGGGCAGAGGAGAAGATTTTCAAAGCATTAATGCATTTTGGCTTCATAATCAATGGAACCCCACCCTAACACCAAAACCCCTGACCAGGGGCCATGAAATATACCAAAATGGGCGAACAAGGCGAGAGCAATGCCTATAGTGCAACAAACATGAAGATGAAATATTAAATCTCAATTATAACAAAATTTTCTTTGATATTTCGTCTAAAATTAAAGTATACCTTATGTAAAATCGCCACAATTTCCAAAAATCTCAAATAAGATTAAAATTATTTGTATATGAAATAGATACCCACACTAAAGGGGGCAAAAAGGATCATTTTCTCATACTATAACATAATTTTTTGTTATGAGTTGGTCTTCGCTCCATGGTTTTGAAAGTTTATCTTCAGAGTTTGCTTAAAAACATACATTTTTTTGGTGAACAAAAACATGGAGTAATGACCCACTATACCTTAAAAATACACTTTAAGGACATACGCAACGTAGTTTGAACTTTGTTGTATTTTTCCCTGGAGTTGAAGA